GGGCATACACCCTTTTAAACAGGGAAGCACCACGGCCACAAATATTACGGGTCCTACGTGAGCTATGTTTGATTTCTATAATATGTATGGCAGTATCGCCTAAACGCACGGAAATTCACCCTAGTTGACACAAGATCCCCATAGTATACCGCCCCAGATGTCACCTGCAAGCTATTCAGCATTATATTACGTTCATTATACCAAAGACTACATTCCCAGAGGATATGATGAGCAGACTGTTCATAGTGAGAGTTAGGTGTTGAGCATTGACACAATGGTGACTCGACTAATTTAAATGAATAAAGCTTGCTCTTAAAGTTACCATGACCCGTAAGAAATTGAGCGACACAGTGATCCACCTCAAGCCATATCCTCGACAACCGTTCGCGAACAGATGGAAAGAATTGGTAAAGATGGCGCCCCTTGGATGATTCATCCCAGCGTTGTTGCCATTCGTCTACGAGGTCATTATCAGGGAAGCAATCTTGTAATTTTACCGCGATCCCGCGCGCCCAAAAAATCGCATTCCATGTTTTGTTGTCTTGAATAGTACATGGCTGCACGTCTCTGCACCTCGAGATCGACCGGAAGCACACCCGCCAACACCGGCAAAGCCTCAGTGCTAACCGTCCTATATGCCTTACACAAGAATATCAGTGCAAGTCGTTGGCCTTGTAACAGTTTGCGACGAACAGCGCCTACGGTCGCCCTATCGGCCCATACAGGTGCACCATAGCACATAGAACCTAAATAAGTAGCTCCGTATATGATCTTTAATGTATTAAATGATAGACCCCATGTCGCAGTTGATATCCTTGTCAATGCACAGAAACTCTTTTTAGACTTTTCATTAACTATTTTAATATGTTCGATAAATGAAAAGTTTCTTTCTAAAACTAATCCTAGATAACACACTGTAGTTTTATTTTTTACAGTAACATTGTCAAATCTAATGCTCGGCGGTGATTTGAGGTTACCTTTTAAAAGTAGCTGGAAGGTTTTGTATGGTGCAAAAGTTAAGCGATTACGTTCACCCCATTGAGATATCAAGTTCAAACATCTATTGGCTAATCTCTCAAGCCCCGCCCTAGTATCAGATTCCACCAGTAATAAGCCGTCATCAGCATACGCGTTCAGAGTACATCCGGATGGTATTGGTATCGCAAGAAAATCGTCGAAGCCGATATTCCACAAGTATTGACCTAGCACCGATCCCTGAGGACATCCCATCAACAACAAGTAGACGACCCCCCCCCCCCCCGTGTGGGAAACCCATGTTCCCTCTGCTCCCTGGAAGCGAGCGCGTTGCGAAGCGCGCACCCATGATTGCTAGGGTGACAGATGGCCTCACCTGTCACCCCCAGGCCTGCGCTTATGGAGGACGGAGGTCGTTCTGCGACCTCCGCCGCCTGAGTCGCCTGTGGTACCTGGCCCGTTCCCGAGCCTGGCAGGCCGGGAGAGTCCTAAACCTCTCCCGGTCCCGCTCCGCCGTCTCCTTCGCGAGCATAACTTGCTTGCAGAAGGAGACGGCAGAGTTCCACGCGCTCTCGCTCCGCACGATAGCCGCAATCAGGATATCGAGCCAGAGAACTCCCAAGGCCGCCACGAGGTCTCGCCTCTGCTCAACCCACGCCGGGCACTCGGGTGATCCCCGAAACATCCTTTCCCAGTGATCACCTGCGTCAGTCGGTATGAGAGGGTCCCGTGACGCCTCTCGAGCCAATCCTCCATAACGGGTCTTACCGCCGCGATGACGGCGTGCCCGATCTGGCACCTATCCCTGGTGACATATTGACTTCGCTTGTGCTAAAGCTATTTTCTAATTCTATCTATTCCTCGGGACACAACACTAACTCTTAAGTATAATAATACAACAAAATACCATTAGCATAATTAATAACGTCGTAACTTTAGTTTATAAATATATGTATGTAGCACGTATCACGAGTACTATACTCGTAATAAAAAATTAAAAGAAATAAATACATTAGAAGTTAATTAAATTAATTTTAGGTTATAATGTGCAGAAATTAAATATTACTGTTAGACCAGTTTTATTGAATCTGTGGCGAGAGAAGAACTTTTAAAACTTTTTAATACTTGAGCTAATAGGTGGATACACTAAGGTGCATTTTTACCTCGGAGATTAACAAAGTGAATGATTGTTAAGCCCGTCTGTTCGTGTTTTGGCTTATAAATAATATTTTGCTAATGAAGCCTCGTTAGAGTGCTAGCAGATTAGTTTTTACTACCTGCAGACAATAATTAACAAAACAATAACGACAAAACATCTTCATTACAATATACAACCGTATAACCCTAAGGCTCTTTTATCATAAATCATTTTTTAAACATATGTAAATGTTCGGAAGTGGAAGCGATCAACAAAACATAAAGCTAACACAGTAATAACTCAACCTTTTAGGCTCTTTGGTCACTAATAAGTTATAAATCTTATCTATGAGCTCGCAAACCGCGGAGGTTTAAATTTCAAACAACACAAGTTAACCTATGACACCTTTAGGCATTTGATAGAAAGACAATTCACACCTACGCGCGATCGTCGACAAAGTGTTAACAGTTCTATCGGCTCAATCAATGCTTAAAATTGAATGATGGGTTTTTAATATCTGGTTATGTTGGGGTTATGGTTCAAGATATAATTAATTGTTTTAAATGGTCGCTATACAATATAGAAAAAATAATCCCGTGGGATGATAATGAGTCTATGGAAATTGATATAACAGATAAATGTTCACACAAATATATATAGAAAAGAAATAGTATGTTATTCCACATGTAATGTTTTGTGACAAGTATCTCGGTAATGTGAGTACTTACTGAACAGAGACGTGGAAATTAGCTTTAATGATATGAGCCAATGATATTTTAAGGAAGATACGTTATATTCATACTGCACACACAAAATATTTGTTCCGTAACCGTACATATACGTACATCTATTAATGCATTTTAGAACAAAATATAGGTACACTTATATGTGGTATGATATTCCTTTATCTTTATTTACACACACAGGAAGGCATTTTATGAATTTTCTCGGATTAACTATTAATTAGTAGGTACGTGCGCTCGCTCGCAGTGGTCCTGATTAGGACCCACCCGTTTTGTGCGTTTGATGGCGTATCTACCTCTTGGTTGTATCGAATATCGTTAATATGAGCTATGTATTTACAAAGTACGCAAAGCATTAGCAGATTAATAGACAGGTCTTATTTTTACAAAACAACTTAATATTTCTTTTACAAAATCGCCAAAAGTTGTCCTTACCTACAAATCTAGATTTTTTTATACTATCTTGAATTGTTTTAACACCTCGTTTGCATTCGATTAAACATTTAATTAATTTAACTATCGTTCGTCTCGTTTTGCTTTATGTACACGGTTAATGCGATTTAACGAGTGCATACATTTTTGGCGCCATTTTTGACCATTTCCATATAAGATTCCATTTTTAAAAGTCAAATAAATGTGTTCGAAATAAAAAATATATATTAAGTTATGTGACTATGACATATTGAAGAAAATGCTTTTCACAGATACCAAATGATTTGAAGACAATATCTAATTAGAAGAGCTAGTAGGTTATGGTTTTTAAGGCAGACGTTGTTTAAGTGTACAGAGAGAGCGAGAGTATCCGTATGTGCATTACCTTTACAAGCAGGTTTAGGTACCACGGCCGTTAGGTTTCAAAGATCTAAAAGATAATATGAATATCGATAAGGAACATGGGAAGTTGTCGTGTACACTGTAACATATTAGGTATGTGCCCAAAGATTTGCATGGTAAAGAGGTAGTAAAAATTACTTGAAGGCTTCTGTGTTATACTGAAAGACGTATTGCAACCATCTTACGTATCAATTTCATTAAATACTCGAATGACATTTGTTGTAAAATTTGACAGTTCTTTTAACTGATTTTATGATCAAATCACTCAGTGACTAATCATCCTTTCAGCAAAGTTTTTGTGTTGGTCAGCCTGTCGGAAAGGGGGCGTTATGTTGTAACCGTAAAAATGTTATATTCACATACAATAAATAGAATATTCACACCGTGTAATAGTCACAAATTTGAAAGACTAGTAGGTAGGTAGGTACTTTAATTTTTATTTAATTTAATCAAGAGATGTTAAAAAAAAGACAAAAATGAGATGTTTGCCACATTCGTTTTGTAAAACATATACTTAAATAAATATAATGTGCCTAATTATTTAACACAATTATATCATTCTAAATTAACATGTTACATATGCACGTACAGAAAATATTACATAATGTTGAACTAGTAACATTAGTATATTATTAGTCACTCCTAGTGTGACTAGTCTGACTAGCTCTCGTCCAGCTGTCTAGCGTTGTACAATCTGGCCTTTTGATCTGGGTATGTGGCGAGTACGAAGTCTGATGATGATTAATTAAACCTTGGATACTGGTGCGCTATTCGGTAAATGTGAAAAGTTTAAAAATAGAACATTTTAATATAAAACCTTTTAAAAAAAGGATTTCTCATTCAGAAAAATTGTAGGTTGAAAGTTAATAGAAAGTGGTATATAGTTATTCATATTGATATACAATATTGTAAAAGCATCTAATTATTCACAACTGCTAGACATGGTAAAAGTGGATTTTAGCGAAAACTGTAATTTCGATGCTGTGTAACAGGTTATGTTTAATTTTCGAGTTCGTATGAATAATTAATATTTCGATGGTCCGATTTCTAGTGTGTTGTTTTTGTGTGTTTACTGCGTCGCCGTGATATTTTCTCTATAAATTTTAAATTTATCTCGAAACATTAATCATGCATTCGTTTGTAACACATCGGTAGATAAGTATAGTAAAGTATAGTATACTTACATAGACCGCTCTTAATACAAACTTCATCATTTTTTTTACAGATGATGAAGGAAAATTGTACTAGGAATGGATGCAGTTAAAATTATAAAGCTACCTACCTAATGCTCTCTGGCGGATGATAACAAAATGACAAACAAGGCTATACTTGGAATTGGTTCCTTAAAGTTACACGAGATGGCGCGAATACTGATTTGGATTGTGGCTGCTGGTGCGGTAGGGGCTTCCAGTTTAAATGACCAGGTGGCGCTGACAAACGTGACAAGATACGCTACAGGAGATTATTTTTCGCTTATTGGTAAGTTTCTGTTCTGTACGACTTTGGTACGTTCGTTGATAGAAATACTGAACATAAAGAGATAAAACTTGTATCTAGGTTTGTTATCGTATCATTTAAATGCTATTGGCCTTGATAAATTAATTTTTTTTGTTGAATTTGATCTAGACATACAACAGTACGAATATGATGGACTGTTTATGAATTTCTGAAATATGCATGTCCTAACATTGTTATGGGATTCTACTAATAAATTACTGTGATTCAATACATTAGGCACTGATAGTCAGCTATCATTGACTATTGAGAAGGCTCGGTTCTAATAAATAAGTCATAAGTGAATATTTTTGTAATTCGATGAGATGAAGAGAACAAATAAAATAAATTAATGTAAATAAATAACTATTTAAAATAATGAATATATAAAAGAGAAAAAAAATGGTTTTTGCAGTGAAATTATTAAGGAGATGTAGATATCGAAGCTCGTCTCGAAACGGTGGCAGTTGTTAAGCACTCAAACCACAATGACTCCAGAGCAGTGTACTCTGTCATTGATAAATCGAGGTGTTTGATTTCAGGATCAGATTGCGGACCAACACGATGTATGGAGTTGACCCACGGCACCGCCTTGGCAACTATTGGTACAGACGCTAGCGGCTGTAGATGTCAATGTCGAAAGGATACTCCTGCGTTCCGCGAAGACCATGGCAGCTGCGTCAATCATATTGATGGTACGGTAATTCGTTATACGTATATTTTCTTATCTTTATAGCAAGTCATTCCCACCAGTTACTTTTATTATTTTAAGGTACCAGAACACTTATAAATGACCTATAATTTGTACAACCCCACATCCATTGGCACACCCAGCTTTATTATTTTCCCCAAGCATGCAATATAATGTTAAAATTTATAATAAAAACGAATCCGTCAGATATTTTGATAGGCCCTGGTTTAGTGGTCATTGATCTTGACTGCTAAGCAAGAGGTCGTGGGTTTGGCCGATTATTACCCAGAACAAGGACAACACGATCATTCGCTAGGTGTAATTTATGGGTATAATTTGTTTCTAATGCGAGTATGTAGGTTTATATCTGGAAATTAATAAGTATGTTTATCGGCAGTCTGATTATAATAAGCATAGCCTGTATTCTGTCTGGTGTATTATTATTAGACCTGTTTTAATGACCTGACTTTTTACAAAAATGGAACTCTTCCAGAAGAGGGTTAAGTTAAATCACTACTTATATCAGCCAATTCCCGTTTGTTTTTAAAAGTATTTCTGTCTATCTGCCTGTTACCTCTTCACGCTTCAACCGCTTAACCGATTTGGATGAACTTTGGTATATAGATAGTTTGTGTCCCGGAAAGGACATAGGATTTTTATCACAGAAATCAGAATGATTTCTGTGATAAAAATCCTATGTCCTTAAGAGGTGAAAAGGGGGGTGGAAGTTTATATGGGAAATCGATAACCGCTGAATCGATTTAGATGAAATTTGGTATGGAGATAGTTTGATTCTTGAGAAGGGACATACACGCGTACAGAGCCGCAGGGCAAAAGCTAGTATTTAAGAAAGTTTTAAGGAGTCTTTTAATAGTCATTCCATTTTATAATGCATAAGTATTTTTTTATTGCCGAGATAGGCAGGAACGATTAAGCCGCAGGTATTATATAAAAACGAAGTCTAGTAATTTTACACAAAATACTATATCCAGAAGCGATACTGTCTTGTGTAAGAAAGTTGTGTCGTCATTATATCTATTATGACGAGCCATTGTTGTAAGGTGTAAGGCTAGAACTTATGACAGGTAATTACAGGAAATGACATATTAGTAACCGTCGTATCCTAAGGTTAGCTTTGACAATGACGAGGGTCAGTCAGGACTGAAATGATGTAATGAACGTATTTTATTGTGAATTATCGTGTGCGTTCAGATAGACGTTGTTTTTATACAACTTCTATCGTTATGATTCCCTTGACTGCCTGATGTTTTATTATTGTTAAGTAAATAATTCAATAAATAAGAAGGAGAAATATTTTTGTTGTTACTGTTGTGCGGGTCGAATAGTAAAAAATAGCTGACGTGCGCAATTTCGTCTGTGTCTCTTTAAGAGAATTAATCCCTGTTTTTGCAACCGTTTTCATTGATACTCGGCTCCTGTTGGTTGTAGTGTAATGTTATTTAGTCTTTTTTTTTACGTGTGGAAACCTACTCGGGCCATCACCTACCGGGGTTTGCAGTGGGGTGGTGCGTCGGAATCGGTGTGTGCTGAATCGAGTCCTCACTGCAATCGCAGTGGTGGCAGGCGGAACTTAATTTCCTCCTAGAGACCAAGTGCAGGTACTTCCCGTAGCAGCCGTGCCCGGCAAGGACCTCCGCCAGTCGGATGAAAGGGCCCCGTGCTGCCGCCCTGCCCCTCCACTATGACCGGCTGGAGCGCCTCCACGGTGGTTAAACCAGCACGTGGAGTCTCCAACCGGGACGACCAACGAGCCATTATGGCTCGTCAGTCGGGTGGCTTTACGCCACTCGGGTCCCGCTAACCACCCGAACCTCAGTCGCCCGCCAATATACTTCGGCGAACACTTCCGCCTCCAAATCTCCGCAGCTCCGTCGACACGGTGCCGTAACCGCGTATAGCTCTAACCTAATACCCTCAATGTTATATAGCCTATAATATAGGGTTCCTCCAAAAATGGGCTATTCAAGACTTAAAGAACTTTTCAATTCAAACCAGTAGTTCCTGATAGCACGGTCAACCTAACAATCAAACAAACACTTTAAAATATTAGTAGATACAAATGGATAAAGTGCCGTCATATAATAATTCTTTATTACATATTTACGTCATAATGATATATTTTTATAGAATTTGTCTAAAACATGTTTTATTTTTCAGAATGTTTGATGGCTAGCTTCGGCCGTGGCACATCAAAACCACAAATACCATATGTCTTCCTCCCTCTCAAAGGACAGATTATATATCCGTCCAAAGAAATTGTCTTTACCGGTGAGTAACTTTTTGAACAAGTGCACTAATATTGATAACAAAGCTTGCTTCCTTCTATTAGGGATAGGCTTAACAAAACAAAATGAAATCGTTTTTAATGCTTTGTTAGATGTGGAAGACGCAATTTGTGCGGTAACGAGCGCCCAGTATTTGTCGACATCGGGCTGGGTGACACTTCGCGATTTGGTGGACAATGACGTCCCATTTGGATTGTACCGCGACGAAGGCAACACTTTTTTGCAGGTAGTGTAAACAAAACTTTTTATATTCATGACATTTTGAGGCATTAACAATTATAGGGTTAATACGGTTTTACAAACTTGGAATTGTCACTTGTTATAGATAGGATCACCGTTCCTTATCCCCAATTCTTAGTTAGGAACGATACAAATATATTACTCATTAAAATTATTAAATTGCTAGTTAATATTGATTTTTCACAATAAATTTAAAATAAGTAATATGAATCTTAAAGTATTTTGATTCACCAATCAGTGACAATCGACGTTACTTGTGGTGATGGCGACGCGAGGCCTTCAGAAATAACTACTTGAATTTATGTTATGATTATCAAAAAATAAAACATTCTTAGGTAAACTTTTTGATGCTGCTTAAATCCCATCCCATTATGTGTTTTTGCGTTATTAAAAAAGAAACATTAAAAGAAAAGTTTTTCATAATAAACGCGACAAAGATTGTTTGCTTCTCCCCAAAACAGTTCCGAAGTATGATTCCAAATTTAAAAACCGGAATATGAACAGTCAAAAAAAAAGGAAGGAAGATAAATGCCATTGATCTGTTCGTCTGTTAAGTATAATTCACTGACATATATCCGTATACAAAATACCATTTATACGATCTTTAATACCCTGAATGTTAACAAAGTTGGCAATGAAAAATGTGATAACCGTTTCGGGCATTATTACGAGCAAGTTTTATATTACTGAGCGGAGTACCTTACATGATTTTCTTTTAAATTGTATTGTCGTACATAATGTTTATTCAAATAGAACAATATACAAAATATAGGTAAATTAATGAACTAGTCTTTTTATGTTACAAAATAATAAATTTTCTTAGCGTTGCGTTTGGCTTTTACATTTTTAAAATCAATTGTAATAAAATATAATTATTTACTTAAGAAACTAAACACGATTGCATAAATAGAAGTAACAATGCAAAAACAATCAAAAAATGTTGTTTTTGAGTATAAATTACGCTTAGAAAGGAACTTAACTGTTAAAAAATGATAACCTTCAAAATAGTAGTAGGCCAAAACCTCTTATCTAAGGAGAGGCCTATGTCCAGCAGTGGACTATTAAAGGCTGTTGATGATGATGAACCCTGCAAAAATTTCTACCTCTAGGGGTTCCTACCCTTTATTCTTGAATCAAATAGTCAAAGGATATGCAAACAACAACTTTTGCACTGATGATTAAATTTGTATTATAGTAGACGTATCTGGCAGTTAATTTAAAAGAATGAAAAACTCTTATATGAACTTGTGCGAGACTTGAATTTTAATGACTAATGGAAGGACTAATTTGGAACAGGAATCTCGAAAATTGTTAAGTTGATAAATTTTAAGAAAAATAAATCTCTTATCAATTTAGAGTCAACTGCAGAGTAATTAAGACAGCATGAGACTGATCTTGAATATATTTTGATTGTTTTACACAGTGTCTTGACGAGAATGCTTAGTTTAAATAACTTGAACCGCTACTTTAGCATCATTAGCCATGTAGTTTTATGTGACCGGTCCGTTTTTATTCAGCGAATACATAAAACTGCAATTGCATGAGTTGTCTTTATAACATTGACCACAAAATATAAACAGCAAAATGAGACCACTCGGAACAACACCAGAAACGTCAAGTGCACCACCCAAGAAGACGTTATATTCCAAAACAAATCCAATATCAAAACATATTATGTTAATAAAACTTATCGAAATAAACCAATTATTTTCACATTTTCATCCAAATTTTTATAGGCTTGGGTATAAAACTTTAAAATCAAGGGATTTTACCTGAACGACAATTAATTGAAGTAAATGAAATTAAAAAGTTTATATAACCTGTACTTGACGTGAAGTTATCGAAACCATAACAATATAAAGTTGAGCGGTCTTGGGTGGATATGGACAGATAAGAAAAATAATGTTTCAATATTTTTTTTCACTTTATATTGACACTGCCGTTGGTGAAGAATATAGTTGTTCAAGAATTAATGATAAGGTCACACTTTTTAGAGTTAAGTGATAAATGTCCTATGTAAAACACAAAATGACGGTAAGAATGTATCAAGGAGGTCACCGTTTCTGGAGAAAGTTTTATATTTAATTTCGCAATAAGACTAAGTAGTATGATAATACAGTCTAATACAGTATGCCTGTTATGTTAACCATCAAACTGATTTTCATAAAGTTTCGTTCTATGGTTCATTAATAACAATGAAAATTTAATCACATAACTTCTCAACAACTGATATTAAAGACGTGCTAGAAATAAATCGTGTTCACAAGAGATAAAAACTGTAAATACATTTAAATAAAGGTTTCCACAACTTGCAACCAAAGATTGTAAGATTAAGCTTGGGGGCATCCGTGCCAAATCCATAACGCGGTTATGTACACGCGTCAAGCGCGTTAAATGTTTATCGTGAACCAACCGGACCAAAGACCGGTCCTTTTGGTAGCGAAGGTCGAAAGACCGAAAAAAAATACTTTGATCAGTACTTAGACTTGGCATATATCCAGTAGGTAAGGACTATATGAAATCAAGTGCACGGATGGCGTAGTGGTTTAAGCGGTCGCCACGCCGGTCACTACTACGCTGAGTGTTGTGGGTCCGATCCTCATATGTGACAACACTTTGTGTGATCCACAATTGTTGTTCTGAGTCTGGGTGTTCTTTGTGTCCGTTTCATGTATGTTTGTAAAGTCCCCCGCGACACACGATATTTTCCTAATGCGGAAGATGTCTGAAAATTGGTTGACAAAATGGATGGCTACAATACGTTAAAAACAAAAATATTTTTACATTTTCAATGAATATTAAGAAGACATTTTACTACCGATATTAAAAAAAACTGCTGTATATTTTGATAGTTTTAAGTGTTACACTTTGTGATATGTTTAATATTGTCGCTTCTCGCAGTTACCTGGCTAAAACGATAAAACGGATTCCCGAGACATTCAGCCTGTTCTATGGCAGAGATAATATCACTCTTGTTGACAAACTGCCCAGTTACCCAGAATTGACAGCTACATATATTGTTTATTTCTTAGTATTACGTCCTAGATGATTGCTAAGATGTCTGTACTTAAAAGAATTGAGTTTTTTCTTTCTCAAAATGTAATGAAAAAGTTAAGAAAACTAAAAAAAACGAGTATTAAATGATCACGAAATATTTTTTGTGTACTAATTTACTGCAGTCGTAAAACATTTGCAACCTGTAAAGCGGCACGAGCCAGACCCTCTTATTGAAAACCATAATTTTAAAATGGAGACGGTAAAACGTTTTGAAATGAACCTGTTGCATTGGATTTATGTAGTTTTATCGTTCGATCGATATTTTTATTGATGTTGATAATATTGTCATCAATGTAACTAAATATCAATAATATCTTTGGTTCAATACGAACGATCAGTGCTCCCGTTAACTTATGTATTAAGTTATGATTTCAAAATAAAGTTTATGAAGTAAATTTCAAAAATTACGAACTAATCAACAATCATGCATAATATTGAATACATAAACAGGTCGGCTACGGGATATTTCATCATGAAGATATTATCTTATCTCAACAATTTTACTTATGTTTGGGCGGTCTCGCCAAAACATTACAGTTGTTGGATCCATCAATCGAGTAAGTGTCGACGTCCAGTATTGCGCGTGTTGAAATGCGAGTCGTACTTGATGCAGCACCAGATAAACGCGAAGGCGTCAAAGGAGCAATTTGTATAATACGTCCAAATACTTCGCATTTAGATCTCTTTATATTGATAAAATTTATAAGATGGATTCGTATTTTGTTTTAGTACGTATGAACTGTGTCGATATTATGTTCAAAAAATGTACACAAAGGCTTATTGTTGATTTTTATAGTTTATACTCGTACCCTTAAGCTTCACATTTATCAAGTGATTTGTAATCGAAATGCATACCTGTATAGTGACAAATGCTACAAGATATTGCATTGATAACTGTTGAATTAATCTGCTTAAATTTGCAAGTAATATAGGTGGAAAGCTTAACGCAATTTCTTACATCTTACGATCAAAGTTAAATTTTATTTTAAATTTTGGTAATTTACTTGACAGTGGCGTGGATCAGCAGCACTTCATACACGGCTTGAGGGTCGCCTGGTAGCCGTGCACGTTCTCTGCTCTGCGGCGATCAATTCTCGTCTTGCTACTTCTTGCGCAGCTTTTCGCATTGCGGGAGCAGCTCAAAACGCTTTACTTGGTGAGTCACAGATGTTCACAACATAAAGCGTAAAATTTACATAACTAATCGTTTAATATGTATGAGAATAACAAATAAGTGACTCATCCACAGATGTGCGTTCAATACCTTTCCATGCTGGAGAAACAGTGACATCCGAGGTGGCACAAAGGCAAGGTCTCAGCGTCTTAGAATCTTTGGCAATCGGAGTATGCGTACTACTGTTGGTCTTCGTATATGCTGCTGGAATTATCTTTTATGTCCATTACAAGCAAAAGCAAAAACGAAACCAAAAAGATCAGGAACAGAATCATACTAATACTATGTCAACTGATAACGGGTCCCTGGAATCTAGAATCGATATGAGTAATATGGTAAGAATTAGCGTATGACATACGTGATCGTCATTTTTTCAACTCAAGAACATATTATTTATATTTGTTCCTGATTTTTAGATGTTGAAAACGAATCCTCTTTTAAAACTTAATGGAATGGGTGGCGACTTTTTCCATGATGAAAACATTCCTGATGTTGGTGAACATTCTGAAGACAACATGGATTCTTCATGTCATAACACTCATACTGCACATAAGGTCAGAAATCATTTAAATCGTTTACACTATTGTTATTAGAAATATTCTCAACACAGATTTGTGACATAACTTTATTACTTTAGTTCCAGAAGTTAAATACAAACGTTATATCGGCGATGGTCCACTCTCGCCGGATGAAGACACTAAGGCCATCGATAAGAACAGCTACTTCTTCTGAAAAAATGAATGAACGATTCCAAAGGCGTTCAATGTCGCCAGATGCTTTAGAACGAGCCCCTCATTCAGAACTTTCCATAATAGATTGCAGTCTTGAAAATAATTTTGGCGGAAGCCGTCAGTTGCCATCCTCAAACGGAGAGAATGCTTATAGAAAGAAATTATATTTTAATCCAGTATTCTTTGAAACTGAACATCTAAAAGTAAGATTACAATAAGTACCTACGTTACGTCCTTACTAGTTACTTTTAAAATCACCATTCCTAATATTTCAAAGCATGTCTTGGTGAAGTGTTTACAAAAAAGTGTAAATAATAAACGAAAACCTCTTTTATTTTAATATATATTCAAAGTGCTTTGTCACCTTATAAAAAAGCAATTCACTAAAGAAAGATTTATATTTCAGAATCCACCGCCTGCTGCCATTGAATTTTTAACAAAAATTCGCGAGGTTATGTACATAGCGAAAGAAAAAATGACATCAAAAAGATTTTTACCGATTTTATCTGATATACCCGAAGAAGATCTTTACCAAACAATTGATCTTGGCTGGGGCATCCCATGTGCTCGACGTGGTCGTCGATTTAGCGCAATTAGCCTTAAGCAAGAAAACACAAGAAAAACTACCCATTGCGGTGGATGTCCAGGTTGTGATAGTAACTCTCAATCGAACAAGACTGTGGCCTTGACTAGATCTAGCTCCTGTAAATCTTGTGTAGGTGAAGATTACAAACAAAAAATTGTTAGGAAGTGGTTAGATGAAGTACCAACAGTAACAAGCACCTCCAAATCAACTAAGTCTATTGCCAAGATTAGTGGAACGCCAAGAAATATAGAGGTTAAGAAGCAAGAAACGATTTGTCCAAAATCTGCATTGGAAAGTAATAAAATACTTACTGTTACATATACCAAACCAAAAAATACTGATATTGCACAAACACACACAGAAATTAACTCTATATATAGAGATAATAAAGATGTATTAAGAGAAAATAAATCCATTATTACAGAATCGAGACCAACAGTAATTGAATTAAAACCAAAACAAATAGAAATTAAACCTCAAATTTCAGAAATAAAACCTAAGGCCGCAGAAATTATTATAAAAGGAAGTCATGATAGAGTTTTAAAAGAATACATTACTATAGAAAATAAACCCGAAGAAAGAAAGATAATCGGTAAGCCTACAAATATCAAACAAATTAAAGTAGATAATGAAAGTGATAAAATGTCCGTGTCTATTGTTACAAACTCAGAAAAGAAAACTCCTCCATCTAGTCACACATCGCGACGTATCAGAAAGAAGTTGCCACCACCACCTCCTCCTCCTGTAAGTCTTCCAGAACCGCTTGAAGAAGAAGAAGAAGCTCCTATACCACCAGAAGTAAAAGTAAAGATGGAGGCTGTTATTCGCGAAATAAAAACGTGTCGACGCATAGATCCAACAGAAACAGACGATGAAAAATTAGAACCAAAATCTCGAATCTCACCAAAGCTTGTTATACCAGTGATAGGAGCAGACTCGCAATATTTTAGTGATGATAATGTGCTTACTCTGTCAAAGAAAAAAGATTTATATGGTTTAAAAGATAACCTTGCTGGCTTTGATAATATAGACCCCAATATTATTAAGAGGAGACGATTTTCTGTTGCTTGTTTTCCAGAGTTTTCACAAAGAGGAAAACTTGATCACAGTCACAACTTACTAGGCGAGAGTGATAGGGTAATGAGTACAAGTTGGCGAGATATGAGAAAAGCTGTTGACAACTCTCAATTTAAAGACGATAAAAATTTCAATAACGAAGAAATTTTTGTCAACAGTCACATTGAACCCTTATATGACAACATTCACGAGTTAGCAAAGCCTGGATCGCTAACTATTGAAGTGCGCGGGTCACCAGTCGAGACTAGACGTACTTGTTGTAAAGACGACGTTGATTTTGATCCCGATACTCTTGACAGACGGGACACTAAGAAACGCATCGAAAAAATACTTCTAAAATCAGCGGGTAGCTTTAAGTATAAATCCACATCTTCCGAAAGTGATTCTTGTAAAAAATCACCTGTTGAAATTATTACGAGAAAAATTGGTAATCTTAGAGAGATTTATGAAGCTAAAGCAAAAGCTCAAGAAGAAGAGATGAAATTTTACAGTAGACGTCAAAGTATTACATACGGCCAAGACCTATCAGCGTTCATGAGATCTGTAAAGGCCCCTGATTTAATAAGACACATTGAAGGACAAAATGATCCTAAGCCACCGATACCTCCACACCAACGCCGAGGAACTGAACTGTCGCCTAAATCGTTTTTGGCTTCTGCGCGCGGTAGTCCGCTTGGTGACCGACGTAGGATGTCAGAGGATAGAGATAGATTCCAACAATATACCCGACTTGATAACTTGAATGCCCGAAGGTCAGGGCGGCGATCTGCAAGAACCAGATCTCGACGAACAGATCTGAGAAAATTATATAGAACTGAAGACTCTGGTTACATGAGTACTGATTCCAATGAATCGAAACGGAGAGCAAGATATCTAATGCAGTTGAGACCGGTGAAAACAGCACTATCGAATCAGGCTACAATCCCGACCATAAGAGCAGTTGTCACTAAGCCACTTGTTTTACAAATGGAATCGGATACTGATGATGTGGAATCTTTATGGGATGGACGGAGCGAGTCAGGAGGAGAAAGTGTTGAAACCGACTCTGTTTTCTTTGGAAATTTTGATGATTCCAAGGAAATGCTAGCCGAGTTGGGACTAAACAGTTTTGAACCTCAAGGTAAAATAATGCATACTCATGAACAGATTGATTCAGGTTTTATGGGTGAAACTAACATTATTTTAAGTGGTGATAGTGATTCGGAACATCGAAGTGTAATTTCTATTACAACGGGACACGACGGTAGAGCTTCTGTAGCGTCTCTTAGTAACTTAGACGATGCAGCGTACATGCACACTATAGAGTGCTGAGAAGAACTTTAAACAGTAGACGAAATTGTAAATAAAAATGTTGTAATATAACAAAAACTGGTAATATGTATTTTAGAATAAAACTATTGTGTAATACCTAATTATCGGGTTAAGATGCAATCTTAATATAGTATGATTAAAGATAAAACGATTTTAAGTAATATTAGAATGTTGATAATGTGTACAGTAAGTTAATAGTCACCAAATTTTACCTCAAACCTTATGTAATAATAGGAGACGCTTGTTCTAAATGCGTTCCGTGCGGTGTTACCGTCCATATAAAATCTTGTTACTGCTATTTACCAACTTGTTATTAATGTTATTTGAGAGTTATTTATTGAACTGTTTGTATGAACGCTCAACCCACCGTTGATGTTCGTGCCTAAATGTTAATTATTTATCACTTTATTAATTATTATGATTTTTTCGCAGTAATTAATTGATATTTTTATATGCCATTTTATGCTCAATTTATATTTAATAATCATTTTTTAGTTTTAATGTAAATAAAGCTATAATGTCATACGTTTGTAAATTTTATAGCCGGCCGGTTGTGCAATTAAATTTTTATTAGTTTTTCGAGAAATAAAATGGATTGGAGTTATTATTACGGTGTTTGGTACACATAAGAGGCTCAATTATTTATTGAAAGTTTATGTTAAGTAAAATAATTGAACATATTGTAACAAAATAATTTACAGTAAAATATAATCAGAAAATATAGTCGATAGTGTTGTTCGGTAATGGCAGCTTATAAGAGAATATTTTCGGACGTTGTGAAAAAAAAAACTTGTAGAAAATGTTTTTCTATGATTAAAAATACTATAGTTGTGTCATAACCGGCGTTTGATTATAATATATCCCCTATTTTCAATGTTATAACATGTAATTCAAGTGATAACTTCACAAACCTGTACTCGATCCCTACGAGTACAATACATCTATCTACGCAACAGGTATTTGGATGACCTACTAATAATACTTTTTCAATTTTGAACCTATCACAGCGCTTTTGGCCACAACTATCTAAAACTTGTGTTATACATTCTCACAGAACAGGCATAAGCATTTTAGATACTATCTTTTTAATATTATACAAGGAAACATTAAAAAGATGTAGAAAAAAAAACATTATTAATTTAGTACTTGATAGAGAAATAAAAGCCGTATTTTTTATAATTACGGTGGCCTTATAACCAGATAAAATATACACGGTGATTTTGAAAGCGTTTTGGAAAAGAAAATTTTGAGTTACTTATCAGTAACAGAAGGTATATATAACGTTAATTTAATAAAATATATATATATTTTATCATCAAAGTCGATATTCATATCGATTACAGACAAAAGGTGAGAACCAGTAGTAGGGCTTTTCAATCGCAAGTAGGTAAATACTACGAATAGAAATACTATACTCACGCGCAAGGTCAAGGACGTTTAGTGTGTGGAAGGAAGTGCGTGCATACCTGGAGAATGAGTTTAGTGATCGGTGGATAGGTCGAGGAGGGCCAGTGCCTTGGCCACCTAGAAGCCCGGACTTAACGCCCCTGGATTTTTTCTTATGGTCGGAAATAAAATTAAAAATACAAATACTTGTTTATACACGGGAATATGAAAGCCGTGATAATTTACGCATTGCGATAGTGGACGCTTTTGATAAAGTGAAAAGTGATATAGACACATTAAGAAAATTAAAAAACAATTGCATTAAACGTGGACGTTTGTGTATTGAATGCAGCGGACTCCATTTTGAGCAGTTGCTTCGATACAGAGAAGTGTAAATAGTGTAAATAGGTATGTAAGTTAATTATTCTGTAGATAGCTCCGATTTTTTAAATACGCTTGAAATATTTATACCTACAGTCCGTTGATAAATTGATTTGTTGTGAAAAGAACAATCGTGGTTAATAATCGAAAAAAAGTTTAAATAAAATAGGTATTTCCGACGATCCTAAGCCCGTGTAAAGTATGAAGGACAAATTGGAGTCTATCTACGTAAGTACTCGCTAGCTCGCGCCTATAGGTATACTTTTATCAGCTGCTGTTAGCGTCAGCGGTGCGCAGCGGCCACCGAAACGCCCACGGACGTGTTTCATTCATATAAGATAATGAATGAATGATCAGTCCATTACTACTTTCCAAGTCGATCAAGTAAAAATAAATATTAAAACTGAAACTTTTTTTTAGACAACATTACAATTGATTTAATCATTTTTATTGATACTATAGATGATTCCAAATTAAAATGTTTCGTTTCCAAAACGCCTAAAAAATCACCGTGTATAAATCAGAAATTAACGTAAAAGTACGTAGATGTGATGTTAGTTAGATAGTTAAAATCGTAGTACTTACTAGTCGTAGTCAAATTTCACCTAAAAGTTTTATTTACCTACCACATGTCAACAACCCTACCCCCCCCCACTCCCCTCTTATAGACACACTTATAAACCCCCTGCAACTTATAAGCTCTATTGCTCTATCTCTGTCTATATGTATATATATAAATAAATAAAACAACTTATAAACAAGATTTGTTTGTTTAAATTGATTTCTACTGTGCCCAAAACTGAAATAAATTAGAACTCTAGGATGCCACTAAATACTCAGTTACTTTCATAGCATAATGTCGTACGGTATTCTGCTGTGGGGGAATGCTGCCGACATTCAAACCATTTTTGTGCTGCAAAAGAGAGCTATTCGAGCACTTTATAATTTAGGCAATCGTTGTTCATTGAGGCAGAAATTTAAAGAAATAAATATAATGACAGTGGCAAGTCAATATATTTATGAAAATGTAATATATGTTCACAAAAATAAAGATAGCTTTTTGAAAAAAAGTGATGTACATGCCATAAATACCAGAAATAAAAATAAATTTGTTGTACCCGCCTCTAGGCTCCAAAAGATAAACAAGTCTTTTCGAGGTCAATGTGTCCGATTTTATAATAAAATCCCAAATAATATTCAGGAGTTGAGTATTAACAAATTTAAATCCGCAATAAAACGTGGCTTGTGCCAGAGGGCCTACTACTCGATTGTGGATTACATGGAGGACAAGAATGCTTGGGATTAATTAGCGCAGGCTATTTCTTTCTTAAGTAAAAATGTGGTGTGGCTAGTATGTTTTTTATTATTTTTTCTATTTTTTATGTTTCACTTCATTTTCTCTTGTATTCGTTTGTTCTTCTTAATCTTGTTTTCTCTTCGTTGTTTTTTCACCTTTAAGTCCTTAATAACGGACATACTAGCACACATCAAAACAATGTTGTGATATATTTAATAGTGCCATTGTATCTACTTGTGAATTGCAAAAGAGTGGCCATGAGTTTGTTTGCCCTTTCTTCTCATAAGGCTCAACCCCTTGGAAACGGGCGGTTGTAGATCGGCACAGGCATATCATAGATTTTGTATGGGTTTGATTTTGTTAAATTTATTTGGTTACTATTTGACAAAACAGAGATTGTTGCTTTTGTGTGTGTTGATCTATGACTTTAGAGTCTACATGGAAGACGATTTCAAACAATTTTGAAAATTTTATGAAATAAAGAAAGTTTGAGTTTGAGTTTACTATTACTATTTCTACACCAACGATTATGAACTTATGATATGTTGATGATTGACTGATTATGATGACTCTAAATACTTGAAATAAGGATACAAGGACAACGAATGCGTCGTCACATTTAAGCATTTCTTTACAACTAACAAAAATATTTGTGTGAGGAAACATTCGTCGAATGCACACAACACAGTCCGTTAAGTTGACGTTCTTATGAAAAATTACGTAATTTATTTAAAATTTGAAAGTTTCAAATGGTTTTACCTTTAAAATTATCGCTTTCATTTGTTAATATTTCTTCGCTGAGTCCAATTTATTTTATTGGAATGTGAATTTTATAACCCTACGCATCTTAAATCACCATCAATCGAAGTCAGGTCGATATCTTTGACCGTGCCGAATTAATTTATGTTTTCCAATTTGCAAAGCAATCTTTACATATTTTCATCAAATAATTCAAAACGATTAGTGTTTCAAATTGTTATTAAAGTCTATATTTTGTGAGTATACCTATTACCTTGTTACGGTCAGTGCAGCTTTTAATTCAAATGTGTTTCGTATAGTATATCAGTAGCTGGAATGCATATCGATGTATTGTAATTGTATTATCGTATATCGTCATTATACGAGTTATGGTCATAAAATTAGTACCTATCGTAAAACATATCAAATGCATATAATTTGTAATAATTATTTTTATTAATTATACCTGTGGCTCCATCAAAACCGAACAGAATGACTAATATTCGGTTTTGGTTGAGGTCAAAAAGAATCCCTTTTAGTAAATTTGGTTCCTGTAAGCGGTTATCAGTTCACAAGACGACGATAGGCAATATTAATGGCATGGATCTGTTTTTATGATGTTGTAGGTATACGGATAGCAGTGCTTCGTCAGAGCAACCTTGGCAAAGGTCAAATAACAACAGTGTTGCAGTAGGAAAGTATTTTAGGAGCAGGTAGCCGTGTGGTTATGGTTCAATTTACTTTTAACTGTATATATTAATAAAAGTAGAGAGTACATTGGCCACCTTTTTATGTAAATTTTACGCACTGACGAATGTGTAAGAAATGCGAAAAGTCAACATTCTTTAATTAATATGTATGTAAATTTAAATAACATGAGCCGTTTCGGCTACTAGACGCTCCCAGGGGTCTATAATAATACGATACGGATATTCTACACCATGAGAGTTCATGTTATACTGGTGAAAGACATGAGACTATAAAGTCATAATGGATTTGTTTATTTGACCACTAGGGATCTAGTGATTTTTTTTTTCACATTTGATCACTTCAATGTTATCTTTGTATTCGACTAAAGTCGCATCGGCCCATTAGCTCAGTTGGTTAGAGCGTCGTGCTAATAACGCGAAGGTCGCGGGTTCGATCCCCTCATGGGCCACAATTTTCTTTTAGTCATCTAGTCCTGTCATTCTTGAAG